TAAATCGGTCTGAGAGGGCAAGCGATTTTATCGTTTATTTCAAATGTCACAGAGGTCACAATTAATAAATATGTGCTCTTCCTGTTTACGTAAGAAATCGGAATGGTTTTATCTTTAAAAATTAGATATAAGATAAAGAATCATCTATACAACGTTGTACTTCTTCCGTAAAATATTGGACCGCACGCTTTCTATATTACACTAGCTGTTCCCCGCGACTTCGTCCGCGTGGAATTCATTACGACTGGATTTCATGTTTTAATTTTTTTCGCGGAACCCTATATCATTTTTCAGAACATAAGTAGCTTAGCTAAGTTTCTCCTTATAATATCAGCAAACTGCCAGTGAGTCCCGTGGAAATCGGTCCAGCCATTTCAGAAATTAGCCGGAACAAACAACCAGAAAGAGTGACAAAATTTTAGAAATTGATTTTTTTTTATATACCTACTTTTTTCTTTTTTACAAACAAAAACTTTTTATATATTTGTATAAGATATGTTACTATAAAAAGTGTGCGGTCCAATATTTAAATAGTAATATATGTGAATCAGGTCGTCACTCCATCTAGTGGGGGGCCGCCCTACACTTCGCCTACCGGTACGAGGCTGCCACTCGAAAACCTTTTTTCCCCATCGGTTCTTCGAGATATATGGCCGGCCCATTGCCACTTCAGCTTACTAACTAGATGGAGTGACGACCTGGTAAGACATGCGGGAAGTCGATGGACGCAGGTGGCTTAGAACCGTGCTTTGTGGCATTCCTAGAGCCTGTGTTCAGCAGTGGATTTGTGGAGGGCTGTAATGATGATGATGATTAATTAATCCGTTAGTTGCAGAATTCGTGATTTAATTTACACACAAACAATTATAATTCAAAATATTGTATTTAAACCGTGATAGAGACATTTGACTACGTATCATAATCAGTCAGTAAATTCTCATAGTGGTTGGTTTATAACTTTTCAAAAAGATTCGTTGAACTAATAAGGCCTAAATATTATACTTACATAACTGTACGTAATTAAATGTATAAATAATAAATGTGTATTAACCATAACGCCTTATAAAGCCAGAACTGGGTTATGAATCCACAACTCGATAAAGGTATTTTCGGAAATACTCCAAATGTGTTTTTTATAGGACAAGGGCGACATACTTGATAATGGCGACAAACTTATACACAGTCGACCTGATGATAAGTGGCTGCTGTGGACTACATACATTTACATCTGTCCTCGATTACAAACCAAAATGCAGATGCGATGTCATCCGTGAGGACTAAGATGGAATTCCTCGTTTCCAGTAAAAAGGGTCTCCGGTTCCCTACAGTAACCATACGAAACACAACATCATTGAGCTGCTATTTTATGCTGGTATTCTGTGAGAACGTGGTCTTTCCCCGATCGAGCCGACGCATTCGTGCTACAACTATTTAATTATTTATTTTTATTTATTTATTCATTTAAGGAGTAGGTATTACATAACACAATCTATTTTAACAGTGGTAGAGCCACGCGGCAGCTTTTGCTGTCTCACGGATGGGCCGGCTCGAACCGGGGTGGTACCACGACCTCACAGAAAACCAGCGTGAAGTAGAGATTTACCTCTGCGTTTCGCTTGGTTAGTGCAGGTGGCCGGAGGCCCTTTTTACTGGAAATGAGGCATTCCATCTTAGTCCTCACGGGTGACAACGCATCTACATTTTGATTTGTAATAGAGGATAGATGTAGATGTCTATGGGCCGCAGCAACCACTTACCATCAGGTGGACTGTGTGCTCGTTTGTCACCCTTATTCTATAAAAAAAAATATGCTCTGAACCCTGTACTAGGTAAACCTGTCTTACAGGGTTCCAGACCTTCCATATTGTAATAGTAGTCATTGGTACATAGTATATTTACAACCAAACTGAAGCATGAATAATTAACACAGCAATATACAAGCTATACAACTAATATCGCTGCAGCATGGCTCTACCACGTAAAAAAAAGTTACATTCCTTGAAAGATTACCTATTATAACTAGGTCGAACCGGATGAAGTGAACGCAGATTCGATAACTGATAACCTAAGTTTGAGAAAATCAAATTTTGCGTTTTGAGATAGATAATATGCTATCAGTCGGTATCCAAAGCCTCGTTCATCAATCACCAAGGTATAGCAGCATACATCGCGAATAAATAAGGTTATATCTTGAAAAAATTTAAACATTCTTATTATACAGTTTAATTTAAATAGGAGATTAAAAAAATTAACCTCAGTATACAGTATACAGATGTTAACTATGCAATAAAGTGTTTGTATTAACGATAAATACATTGAATAACCGCAAATGTTTAATGGCTGCAAAACGAATGGATCGGATCGATCGTAGAGGGACCTCTTAGTGAAGATATGGTGACCAGAACTGACGAAACATTCCATCTTTGTCCTCAAACCGAACGAAACCCTTACATGATAGTAATTTAAAGAAGTGTCCGTATAGTTTATATATAACTAGCTGTGCCCCGCGACTTCGCCCGCGTGTTATTTGGGGCTTTAATTTTTTTGTGCGGAACCTTAATTTTTTTTTTCTAAAATAAAAGTAGCCTAAGTTACTCCTTGTGATATCAGCTATCTACCACTGAAAATCCCGTCAAAATCGGTCCAGAGATCAGCCGGAACAAACAGACAGACAGACGGACAGACAGACATACAGACAGACAGACAAAAAAATTTAAAGATTGTATTTTTGTTATTAGTACCGTATATATTTTCATGTGCAGTTAGTAAAAAGCTGTAATTTTGACATTACAAACAGACACTTCAATTTTATTTATTTGTATAGATAATTATTAAAGTTAAGGAATTGTGCGTGTAATTCTGTACACACGTAGGCAGTGAAATTTGTTTACGACATGTCATTCTTCTTTTATTTCATATTTTATATAAGTAGGTTAAATAATACACAATTATAGAATAAACGCGACGTTTTTGTTTTTTAATACCGTATTAAATTTTTCCGATAATCGTGGACAAATAATATCCAATTCAATTACAAAAGTTAGTTACATCTGCATGCACGAAACACAAGTGATTAAGTATTGACATTTAATACATATAGATCGAAAGCATTAAAGAGTTCTTTAAAACAAACGTTGTTTATAAATGCTCATTTTCCGGCCATTTACGGACAGCGACCAAGACGCGTCGACGCGTGTATAATACGACCGCTGTTAGACAAAGCTCCAGCTATCCGTGGGTGGTCGTAGTTCGTGGTGTTTCGATGTAGGTGCGCAGCGCTTTTATGTCGCCGTGTTGTTACTTGAAATTTCTAGACACGCCGGCAAATCATATGCATTTTTGTTGATCAAAGATTATAGTAGAATTGTTGAGACAGCTTTTTTTTTTGTGGAATTAGCGTGACAAATGAGCACACTGTCTACCTGATGTTAAGTGCATACGCATTGCCCAGAGACATCTATATCTATCTATCTTTAATTGTGTATCAAAATGCAGATCCGTTGCCATCTTTGAGGACTAAGGTAGAAAGTCCCATTTCGAATAATAATGGTCTCCGGTTATCTACTCACCATACAAAACACAGCAGTATTAAGCTGCTATTTTTCTGTTAGAACGTGGTCATTTCAAAAGTCGAGCCAACGTATTTGTGCTAGAACCATAATATAGCTGTAGCGTGGCTCTACCTTGTATAGAAAGCCAGTTATATAAGCCAGTAATAGCGTTGTGAGAACTATGACTTTGGTGATATTGAAATCATTTTTATTTCGTAAACTACAATTAAAAGTTCTTGTGTTTAATATAAATACACATTATGCAAGATTTAAGACAGTTGGAGAGCAGTATAAGGCATTTTCCATGTGGCAGCGGTGTAAGAGAATCTATCACCACATTTCGTCGAATTATTGTCGTTAGAGACGACTAGGAGAAATGCCAGAGAGATCTTATGACTTCCGATAGATAGCGTTATAACCATATTTTTACGTGAAGATCTAAAATACCGATACCCGCGAAGGGGAGTAGCATAAAAGGCGCGAAGCGTCTAGAACCATCAGTCAATTGTCACAGACAAACATCCAGCATTAAACTTTTGCGGGATCATGAAGAAGAAGTAGATATGGCAACTTTTTTTATAGGATAGGGCCGATAAACGAGCATACAGTCCACCTAATTGTAAGTGGTTACAGTGGCTCATAGACATCTACATCTACACTCGATTACGAATCAAATTGCAGATGCGTTGTAACACGTGAGGACTATGATTAATGCCGCATTTCCAGTACAATGGGTCTCCGGTTCTCTACACTAACCATACGAAACACAGCAGCGTTGAGCTGCTATTTTACGCTGGTATTCTGTGAGAGCGTGGTCCTTCCCCGGTCGAGCCGAACCATTCGTGTTACAACTATACTGCTAATATAGCTGCAGTATGGCTCTACCACGTACATTCTAAAATAATAAAAAAATATTGAGAGTTATGTAGTTAATTATCAGTTCAGTTAAAAATAGCAATAACATCGTAACCATTTAAAACGATTACGTAGGAAATAATATAAAGAAGCTCAAACAGAAATGATTTATTTTAGTCTTTGTCATTCGCTTTTCAAATAATTTCCATTATTCAATGCTTTTAATAATAAATTAGAGAAGGAAATGAGATTCTACTAGTCTGTCGTAAAATAAAACAGACCTAAGAAGTCCAATGTTACAAAAGCGATAAATGATAATGGACTTTGCACTCGGCTAGTTATAAAACTTTCCAGAATCCACTTTGCCTTTGTAAAATTCATAAAACTTCATCCTTAATACGTAACCCCGTGGCAATAATTCAAACTTTAATGGATTTTATGTTTATCTTTGGTGTGTAATGTAAAAGGTATATACGTATATATATTTAACAGGCACAAAATATTTGACGCGATTGAAGCTAGTATTATAATTTTGATTAATATATTAAGTATGTTCTCTTTCAAATTCTTAAGAGAATTATTTTTCGTTGCCAGACACAAGCGAAAAGTTACCCATTTCCTGCCATCTAAGTCATCGGCGCCTTCACAAAGTTCCGGCTCCCAGAGAAGGGCTCCGCCGCCAGCACCTTTGTACGAAGATTTGCAAGACCTCCCCAGGCGGCCACCACTTCCACATAGACCAGAAATGGAACCACAGCTAGAGGTAAGCAAGTTTCGTACATAATATCTTTCTAGAATAAATGTGACAATCGAGCATACTGTCCACCTGATCGCCAATGGATTTTGTGGCTCAGTTGCCCACATTCAACATACAAAAAAGGTATTTGGTTCTTTACGCTGAGCATGCAAAAGACAGCAGCATTGAGATGATTTACGCTTTTAGTTTAACTAAAATCAGTCGAATGCAATTTATTTATGTATTTATTTTAAAACAGTGTACATGCTGGCTTACAGTATGCCCAAAATGTCAGCATGCTAATTTACAAATTACACTTAACTGCAATAGACGTATAAATTTTGCCGATTTTTCATTCGTAAAAGTTATCATGAAATGGTTGGCCTGGCTGAATATAGAAGTGACATAATTGAGCTATTGACTTCATTGAACTGTAATGTTGATAATGGAAAAATCAGCCCTAAACTAATAAATATACCTTAGGAAGATATAATGATAAAATACAAAAATATATTTTTAACTTATTAATTACATTCTTTAAAGAACATGTTATAATATTTTACAGATAATTGCATTTTAAATAATTGAAGTGTAAGAGAAATTAAGCTTTTCTTTTCACCGTTTTGACTGACGAAAAATATTCTCGTGATTTTTTTTTATAGGATAGGGCGACAAACGAGCACACAGTCCACCTGATGGTAAGTGGTTGCTGTGGCCCATAGACATCTACATCTATCCTCGTTAGCGAATCAAAATGCAGATGCGTTGTCACCCGTGAGGACTAAGATGGAATGCCTCTTTCCCAGTAAAAAGGGTCTCCAGTTCTCTACACTCACCATACAAAACACAGCAGTGTTAAGCTGCTGTTTTACGCTGGTATTCTGTGAGAGCGTGGTCCTTCCCCGGTCGAGCCAACCCATTCGTGCTACAACTATACTACTAATATAGCTTCAGCGTGGCTCTACCACTTGTCGTGATAAACTGATAGCAATTCAACTACATCAGTAAATTCTGAACAAACATTTTATGGAGATAGACAACGGCACTACCAGTACGGGGTATCAGTGCTTACTAACCCGCCAGCGTAGTTAGTATGAGTACAGTTCCAAAAAAAAAGGCATGTACTTCAGAATTACCTTAAGCCCGTAGGTACTAACCAGTTAAAAAAAGAAATTTCTAAACAAATCTAATATAATGCTTTGCTCTTTCCAGATGGTGGAAGCCAAGCGACCAACCTGTCAAGGGCGAGTGTTTGTTTGTGATACTGGAGGTACTTGGCGAGGCGGCAACCCTTGCGGAGGTGATACGTGTGGAGCTCCACTCTACGAGGAACTTCCTCATAGATCAGACGATTCTGTACACAGTGATGATCACTTCGCTGAAGATGAACTGAGCCTCGTTGGAGAAGCTGCACCGTGTCGAACCTGCTCCAGACCGACAGTTCCACATTCACTACCACACCGTCAACGGCCCCAGCGCTTAGACCGACGGCCTAAGTCCTTAGAGAGACGACGCGGTCACCATCGGATGCCACGACATTTACATCCACCAGATCCTTCAGAGTTCCATGAAGGTGTGCTCTTGGATGCCCTGTTAAGATTATACCCTCAGGTTGGCACTGTTGGTGCGAGACCGCCGGGGCCTTTGCCGATGGCAGCTGGAGGTGCATGGCCCGGAGGCGAGCTTCCCGGAATCGCGTGTTGGCGCGGCCCACGGGCTTCACCTAAGCCACCGAGTGGCGATTCTTCATTCGGCTCCGACTCTGGCTACAGCAATAACACATGCGGGACTTGTGGTACTCGTGCATCATCCAGACACCGATTGTCCGCTGAAATTCCAATGTCATGAACGATAAAGTGATTTTGTGAACTTTGAGTGATATATGATCGTGTACCATAATGGTTCCGATTTTAAACAGTAAGACTATATTATATATATAAAGAATTGTCAATAAGTCAATAAGCATTTACTAGAATTTACTTTATCTCTCGGCCTATTTTAACTGATATTCAGTATGGCCTCCTTTTGCCTTCTTCAATTAAGTGTTTGTGAGTGACTAAGGACTTGCAAAAATACCCTGTAGTAACTATATTTCTATGAATCTGTACAAAAGAGTATTTAATGCGTAGGAAAACCTCTTTTGTTAGATTTAATCTCTTGTTTATTTTAAATTGTTCTTGCCAGTTTAGGCCCCATTGAAATAGTATTTAAAATTATGATTAAATAAATAATTTTGTACAAAATGTATGACCATAAACTTGTAGATGTAGTGGTTTTCCTTAGTAAGTTATTCGGAACTAGTCCTAAATTATGATTGAATTGAATTACATATATAAAATAACTTAAAATAATTAATTTTTAATGTATAAAGTAAAATAATGTAATTCGGTTCACTGGAGTTGTAGATATTGTAAAAACAGTAGGTAAAGTTATAAATTAGGTACATTAGTAAGTTGAATTTTATAATCATATCACGTTCTAGGTATCGGTATTGTATTGCATTAAAATATAACGTCACAAATCTCCCTTCCAGAAGATATATCATGTTCTATTCTTCTTATTTCTGGTGCTGTATTTCGTTTACTTGTCATCGACAAATATCTATATTTATTCCTCTTATTACTGTGACAATTCCAATTAATATTACATTCATTACGGGAACTATAAAAATGTTATTTAACATTCTTGTATGAAAATAATGATTTCTTATATTCAAACAAATACACAGTGAATAAAATTAATTTTGTGGATTTTATTGAGCTAAAATTAACTTAGTGCTTATAAGTATCCTTGTTCACGAGGGGAAGGTACACTCAAATAAAATAAAATACCATAAAATCTATAAAATTCGTATTATTCAATTTGTGAAAGAATTTAAATGGTATTCATAATATATCAAAAAAAAAAACTAAAATGATTCACACATAAAATGATTTGCTATATTTACTACGCGAATTCTGTTCTTTGAATACAATCTATTTTACGCGATAAAATTCGTTAAATAGTTTTATTCGAAGATTCACACGTTCTACATAAGTTATTGCAACGTCAATTCATAATTATATCATAGCATTTTTGAACGAGTCAATAATATCTGTATCCACTATAAGCTTTTATTAGTATATATTTCGAAACGATTAATTAAAAATAAGCAGTTTTTATTCTTCTATTGGTTTAGAATTCGTTTCAAAATCGAATGAATTTCGATCATAAATTTGGTTGTAAAAACGTTGTTTCTTGTTTTCTGTTTTCTTTTAAAATTTAGGTGAATATTTATTTTTTTACGATATTGTTTTAGTATTGTATATTTTCGAACGTTAAATCATTAATTAAATTTAACGGACCGAATTGGTCGAATTTATAAACATGAGAAGCACAATAAATTAAAAAATAAATACATTTTTCAATTTTTTTTTAATTTACCTTTGTGGACCAAAAATAAAACGAAATCTCATATAATTTAACATTTAGATAAGTTTAAGTACGTACGTTAGTAAAATTACCATCTCAATTTTAATGGATACAATGCTTTTCTGCCGACTTCCAAAAAGGAGATGGCACTCAATTCGACTGTATGTTTTTTTTATGTGTTACCTCATTACTTTTTACTGGGTGAACCGATTGCGATGATTCTTTTTTTATTTGAATGCTGATACTTCTCGTGTGGTCTATCTCTATTGCATATTATATAATTTAAAATAAAAAAAAATTGTACAGCCGACTTCAATATAAGTTATTAAGAATAACTCAAAAACTATTGGTCTCACCTTGATCAAATTCATATGGGACCACACGAAAAGTACCAGCTTTCAAATTAAAAAAGGATCATCCAAATCGGTTCACCCAGTCAAAAGTTATGTGAAAGTCACATAAAAAACATACAGTCGAATTGAGTACCGTCTCTTTTTTGGAAGTCGGCAGAAAAACCTTAAAATTAGTAAAATTGGTTTTAATGCCATTTTTTATGTATAGTCATGCAAGGCACGAGTGACATAAATTAATTAAAACTATAATGGACATTTAAATACTTCTTCTCTGTAAGGATTTAACACAGAGAATTCAGTTTCATAACATCAATGACTGAGATGGAGTGGGTGAGATGAAAAGAAACTAAACAAAAATTGAAACTAAAATTAATACATATTATATATAACAAAACAGATTATGATATAATATTAAAAGTAAATGCATATAAATGCATATATATATATATATATATATATATATATATATATGTATATATATATATATATATATATATATATATATATACACATATATATGGATATAAATATACATAAATACAAAGTTAATACATACATAGAAATACGATTAATTAACAATTTTGTAAATTCTAATGATTATTCAGTAAATGCTCGCGTACCTTCTTTTTAAAGGAGTATTTGTTAGATGCTTTACTGATATCATCAGGCAAGGAATTCCAAAGACGTGCAGCCTGTACAGTGAAGGAGTTACCATAGAACCCGGTGAGATGAGTGGGAATATAAATCTTGTTATTAGAGGAAGATCGACGAACCCTATCATGACAAGAAGAGAGATATTGAAGTCGTTCTTTGAGGTAAGAAGGTAAATTTGGATCATTAAGAATTCAGAAAAGAACAAGTAATATTCTGGAGTTGCGCCTTTGCCTTATGGTAAGCCACTTAAGCTGAGATCTATAATGAGAAATATGGTCATACTTACGCAGACCAAAAATAAATCTAATACAGTTGTTAAGCAGGCGCTCTAGCTTGTTAAGAAGTTCTTGGGACAGGTCTGTGCACATCTGCATAATCAAAGATAGGTAAAATAAGAGTTTGGACAAACATGAGCTTAGACTTAATAGGAAGGAAGTATTTGAGACGATAAAGGGAACGTAAGGTGGCAATGACTTTCCGACTTAAATCAGTAACATGCACTTTCCAGTTCAGAGAGCTATCAATATACAGGCCAAGATTTTTAACAGACTCACTAAATGAAATAATAATATTATCATAGCAAACAGGAGGTAAGTCTGCTTGATTAACCCTAGCCAGCATCTTTTTACTTCCCACTAAAATCGCTTGGCATTTTACTGGATTCACACAGACTCCATAGCGCGACGACCAATATTTAAATGTGTTTAAATTCTGGTTTAATTTTAGAATTCCATTATGTAGTTCTTCAACGTCACAATACACATAGCTGCAGATCATCGGCGTACAGATGATACGAGCAATCAAAATGATGAGTGATCAAGTTTATAAAAACTGAGAAGATGATAGGAGAGAGTATACCGCCTTGCGGTAAGCCACATTCAACTTCCGCCCAAGCTGAGGTCATATCACCTACGTGAACTGACTGCTGACGCCCGTGAAGATAGGATGCAAACCAATCTAAGACAATGGGCTTAAAATTAAGATGGGATAGGATGGAAATAAGGAAAAGTCAACTACAACTAGTTCTTGTTTTTTTGATCATGCATTTTAGTATCTATAAATAGCATTTTATAATTTAAGGTAATTAAACCTATTTGAGTTAGGAGATTGTCACATTTACCCCAGCAATGAGGCAAGTGTAACAGTACGCTTCTTTTTGTAGTTACTTTATTATTATCTGTGGTTTTCGACAAAATTGACGAAATGATACTAATGTCAAAATATTTTAAGTTTTTTAAATGATTAGCGCGTCCATTTTTTAGTAACAATGAGTTTTTCCCCAGATGGGGAAAGATTTCTGAGTAGTTTTAAAAAAATGACGTCTGTCGATAAAATAGTTGAAGCTATATACTTAACTGTCGGTATAGTAAATAGCGTAAATTTCTTGCGCTGTTCAAAAGATGGTTAACTAAAAAAATGTGTTTATACCGCATACTTTGAATTTGTTACACTTGCCCCACTGTCACACTTGCCTCGGGTGACCATATGTAAAAATCAAACTACGTGGAGTTGATTTTCCACGAATCTACGTGGGTAGGTACCACCTTCCTACCAACATATTACAGCCGCAAAACAGGTTCCCAGCCTCCGTTGTATACCGTTTTTTTTAGATAACTACAGGCTGTGAGGCATATCGTGAGAGGTAAAACACTGAAGCCTTCTTTATTTGAAGTTGGTTGCAGGTGTATGTGGTACGTAACGTGGAGTGGCGGTGTAAGAATATTCATTACCCCAAATCGTCTCGTGGATGTCGAAAAAGGCGACAGAGGAAAACTGAAATAGGACATGGGCAGCAGCATCTTCCTAATATCAACTGAAAATTATAAAAAAATGCCGTTATTCATCAAAGTTATACGAAATAAGACACTCATCAAAAGGTTTACTGTAACCTCGACTGACATTTAAAGAGCTTAAAAAATAATTTCTTAATAGCACCAACTGTGTTTTCGCACAAACGGAAATTCCATTGAGAAAATTGCATCTGACGTATTTATTCTTAAATTAAACGAAGGATTGACCGTTTCAGAAAGTATCTGATTAAATTTAAAAATCTTTAATTTTGGCCTTAAGACCTTTTTGTATTACGGTAAGTAGTTATGAATACGTTAGTCTTTTCATCTAGAAAAAGTGATGTCGGAAAAGAGTTTTTAACATTTGCTTTGCGCACCCAAAGACGACTCTTTATTTGAGAGCATACACGAATAGACAGCCGTGGTAACTCAGGAGCTAAGCGCATGCTGTAAATTTCTCAGAACACGAGCAATTCGGGTTCAATATCCATCGGCACCAATGAAATTGCTAATTGTGATTTAAGGGCTAATTTACCACTTGCTTGGCGGTGAAGGAAAACATCGTGAAGAAACCTAGATGTCTATGAAAAACAAAAAAATATTTCGGACATATTTGAAGTCCACCAACACGCTGGAATAAGGATGAAGAAGAAGAACGATGCCATCGTACGATAATTAAATATATCTTTATATATAAAAATTACGTGTCACATTGTTTGTCCGCGATGAACTTACTAAACTATTGAACTGATTTCAATTAAATTTTGCACACTGTATGCAGTTTGGTCCAACTTGAGAGATAGGATAGTTTAGGAAGGGTCGTCGGAAAGGGCAGAACAACGTCTGCCTGGCCAGCTAGTGATATAATAAAATAAATTCATGTATATCCATTTCACCCGAAGAAGTTGTATGAGGCGACAGATGGAACATACTAGAAGATGGGCATAGCGTTATCATTATAACAATTAGGAAATAAAAAACTGCGGTTCCCAATCCGCCTGAAAAGCATCTACGGCAAATATCCCTCTTATGAGGCAATATATGAGGAGGCTATTTTCAGAGGTAAACTTTGATTAGCTGTAACCTGTAATCAATAGTGAATGATACAATAAGATAAATGTCATTAACGGCAAAACGTTAGCAGGTAATATATTCAACATAAGCTGCTGAATATATGTTTTTAGTATATGTTTTTTTTTATAGGATAGGGTGACAAACGAGCACACAGTCCACCTGATGGTAAGTGGTTGCTGTGGCCCATAGACATCCACATCTATCATCGTTTGCGAATCAAAATATAGATGCGTTGTCACCCGTGAGGACTAAGATGGTATGCCTCTTTTTCAGTAACAAGGGTTTCCGGTTATCTACACTCATCATACGAAATACAGCAGCGTTAAGCTGCTATTTTACGCTGGTATTCTGTGAGAGCGTGGTCCTTCCCTGGTCGAGCTGAACCATTCATGCCACAACTATAACTGCAGCATGGCTCTACCGCGTATAAAGTATGGCAAACGAGCACACAGGCCGCCTGATTGTAAGTGGATGCTGTGGCCTACAGACATCTTAATTTATCCTCGATTAGGAATCAAAATGCAGATACTTTTTCACCCCTGAGGACTAAGATGTAATGCCTCATTTCCAGTAAAAACGGTCTCCGGTTCCATACGAAACACAACAGCCTTAAGCTGCTGTTTTACGCTGGTGTTCTGAGAGCTTGTATGAAAGCGTGGTACTACCCCGTTCGAGCCGAACGACGTGACTCTATCTATATAGGACTCTCCTAACACTCAAAGTGCACCTTTAAGCTTGATTTCATTGGCTTTACGATTCATCGCTTCATCTAGCCGGCTTTCTATACACAATACGTTTCTCACAATACGTTTAACTTAAAAAGATCTATACTCAAAGATATTCCAACTCACTGCACTTCGATTCAATAAATTTTCAGCTTGCAATATTTTATTATTGACTTATTGTTTTGGTATAATTATATAGAAAATTTCCAGCTATGAGTTTTTCCTTATTAAAATTAGTAGCTCATTTTATTTCATCAATGAAAAATATTTAAACTAAATAAATGTTTACGTCATTATTCCTAAATTTATTAGTTCTTATTTTCTAAATTCTAAATTCTTTCGTAAGCTAACAATAGGAGCCATTTTAAGGCAATTGCCAATATAAAGGTTCCAAAATTTTATCGTTAGGTATTGTTCGTAAAATAAAGCCTGTCGAGGATAAAGCGAAATTAAGGTTTTATTAGTTTCTGTTAACGTTGTTGAGTACACTAAACTATGTATTGAACTTTGTCAAGAGAACTCGGTAACTTTGTTATGAATTTATAATAAATTTCTAAAGTAAATTTTGCGCTGTAAAATAAGCACGTAACACATTTGAAAACCAATTAATTCAAACGATTGCGCCTAACCTTATTTTGTTAATTTAGTTCTCTATGTTAATCTAAATACCGTGTAGTGGTAGTGTAAGAATATCCACTTTCCCATATCATCCTGTGGGTGGCGTTAGAGGCGACAGAGGGAAACAAATCAGGAGAAGGACAGCAGCATCTACCTAAAAATGACTAGAAATAAAAAAAAACAGCGGTTATATCCCCTTAATGAGGCAATCTATGGGGGAGGCCTATGTTCAGCAGTGGACTTTAATAGGTTGTAAAGGTAACGATAAATATTAAATGCTTTGCTACGCGGTGGCGGACCTACTCTTGATATCGTGACCTGGATATCTTAAGAGTTGTGTACGAGGTGTAACAATTACGTATTTCACACACTTCAAACACGAAGGATGCTGCGAGATATCTTGTTCTATGATCGTATATTGTGGTGATAAAGATAAATTCTATGCGACGATTATATACCAAAGCAGTTTACGGATTATTATGAGAATGAGGAAATGCTTAATATTTAACTTTAACTACTTTAAAATTTAATATTTCCTTCTAAGTAATAATTCATAATTTGTTACAGCATATCAAACTTCCATTGCTGATCATAAGTCTCCTTTATATATTGGCTCACAGATTAATAAATATCCCCATCTTTCTTTGCCATAGTTATCACGCTTGGTAAGCAGCTTAGCGATCACATTTTTATTGTTATTTGAAATACGCTGCCGCTTATCTTCTTTTTTGATTTCCTTCTGTTGCCTCTTATTGTGTCCACTACCACAAGTCATCCACATCCACAAGTCCCTTTATAAATGGGGTTTAAATCATAACAAACTTCTAATATGCCAGACATATCGTCTGGCATATTAGAAGTTTCTTAAAATAGGTAATTCATTATAAGAGTGTTCTGCGGGAGGTAAATTTTTAATAATTCAATTGAAGAAGGTATATTATTAGATATATTGATTCTCAAATTATTATTATTATTATTATGGGTTATCCATAAATTTTTCTCATCTGGTTGGGCTGTATATATATATAATTGTAAATGAAAATGATAAACATACATAAATATCAACAAAATAAAATAAATACATAAAAAATACATAAATAAATAAAAACACAAACAAGATTGAAGCCCTCGGCAGGGAAGACCAAACGGCCGAGGGTTAGGGGGAAGGGAAAGAAACCCTCGGACGATGCGGGCGGTATCGAGGAGCACCGCCTTCTGCATTTGAGCTTGGAGCGGTTCGTCACGGAGACCCAGCCGCCTCAGATGACCCGAGAGGCTGACTGGGATTAACCAGTTCGCAGAAACGACTACAGGTATAATTTCGGCCGGCAGTCTACCCCACATGTCGGTCACCTCGTGAGCCAGGTCCAGATATGTTGTTCGCTTATCTGTCTCGGCTTTCACGAGGTTCTCGTTATACGGAATGGTAATGTCGACCAAAAATATCCTTGACTGTGCCCGGTCCGTCGGCACAATATCAGGTTTATTCGCAAGAATGGTCCTGTCTGTGATGATAGCCCGGTCCCAGTAAAACCTGGCGCGGTCATTTTCGAGCACGGCTTCCGGCATGTACTTATAATAAGGCAGTTTCCGACCCACGAGACCGTATTTCAGAGCGAGTTCCTGGTGTACAATCCTGGCTACTAGGTTGTGCATATGCAAGTACTCAGAGTAAGAAAGCGCCGAACAACCAGAGCCTAAGTGATTCACCGGGATGGCGACAAACTCGACAAATGTCGACGGTGCCATCCCTTAGGATGTATCTCCGATAGTTGTTGGTCTTAATAACCTGATCCTGCATTGCACAGACAAAATCCTCGATTTCCCCGAAGAGGTCACCGTTAACGTAGCCAGTGGAGGGAGGCAACTGTGTCTACGAAAGGCTCATGTAAAGCCTTGTAGAACCTCCCGTGGAGGTCCTTCTCCTTCCATAAGGTCTCCCGGTCGGAAATGCTCTGTACTGCCGGGTCTTGCCATTGCTCGTTGGCTAAGGATACAGGGGTAAGTCCTTTATCACAAGAAATAACGTTCCTATAGAATGGATCATCCGCTCTCATCAGAAAGTAATTACAGAGGCTGCACACTTCGCGATTGTACATGGTAAGCGCGCTTAAAAGGCCACGCCCACCATGTTTCCGCGGCAAGTACAGCCTCATTACTGACGGTCTCGGATGATGTATCCTGTGGGACGTCATAATAGTGCGGACTTTTCTATACAGAGCGTTCAGTTCGGTCTGAGTATACCTGAGTATGCCAAGTGTATACATGAGAACAGGCATGATCCAACCGTAATATGCGGGTGTCTTATTAACGCCCGACAAAAGACTGTTAAGCACTTTGGTCAAGCGTGCATAAAACACATCGCAAACTGACTACCTCATGTCCACCTCATCGATAACTATGTTCTGTGACATACCCAGGTATCGGTATGTTTCAGCCTCGGATAGGGTCTTTATGTTGATGGGCATAGACAAGTCTATGCCCTCAGACTTAGCAACCCTTCCCCTTTCGACATGGAGGACCGTACACTTATCCGTCCCCAGCTCCATTCTAATAGAATTGCTAAAATCACAAGTGATGTTTAGCAATTGCATAAGATGAATGCGACTAGAGGCGAATAATTCGAGATCATCCATGTAGAAAAGGTGGGTCTTTTTTGTACCTCCTTTCCGAAGCTGAAATCCCCTCCCGGAACTCTCCAGTAAGGTACTGAGAGGGTTCAGAGAGAGGCAGAACCAGATCGGACTCAAGCAATCGCCCTGGAACATATCCCTTCTTATCCTTATGTAGTTCTCCGCAGCCGTCATCTGCTCGCCTAGATGACAAAGGATCGTACTCCATTGTCCCATACACTGCCCGAGAAAGTCTTGAACTGTACAGTTAACCTTATATAGCTCGAGGACCCTCTTAAGCCATGTATAAGCGGCGGAGAGGTTCCAACGGTTGCGTTTAACCACCTTGCCAATGACCGCGTCAATGAGGAGTGTTTCCTTGGTTCCGCGACCACCGCCCCGACATCCATTCTGAGCCCGCGACGTCACCTGATTTGAGTTCAGGTGACGAGTGATTCTCGCGCTCATTATGGATGTTAGTGTCTTGTATATGGTAGGTAGACACGTTATGGGGCGGTATTTGCTCGGGTCTCTGGAATCCCGGTCTTTAGGAACCAAATAACTAATCCCAGTAGTGAATAGGCTCCGGAGCGACTTTTGGTCGAGAGCCTCTTGAAACTGTTGGGTGAGCACAGCGTGACTTGGGAGATACATCCTAAGGGATGGCACCACGAACCCCTTCAGCCAGTAGTGATGCAGCCCGTGGAATCCCGGTCTTTTCCAGTTCGGGGCCCTACGGACCGCCTCAGCTACGTCATCCGGCGTTATGAGGACGGGGTCCATGGGTGTAACATTCGCACACTGACTCGCCACAACTTCGTCGACTTCACGATGTTTCGTGAAGACGTGGTAGAGCCATGCTACAGCTATATTAATAGTATAGTTATAGCACGAATGGGTCTGCTCAACCGGGGAAGGACCACACTCTCACAGAATACCAGCGCAAAATAGCATTTTGACACTGCTGTGTTTCGTATGGTAAGTGTAGAGAACCGGAAACCCATTTTACTGGATAAGAGGCATTCCATCTTAGTCCTCACGGGTAACGACGCATTTGCATTTTGTTTCTTCATTGAGGATAAATGAAGATGTGTATGGGTCACAGCAACCACTAACCATCAGGTGGACTGTGTGCTCGTTTGACACCCTATCCTATAAAAAAAAATAGTTGTAGCACGAATGGGTCGGTTCTACCGGGGAAGGGCCACGCTCTCATAGAATACCAGCGTAAAATAGCAACTTAATGTTGCTGTGTTTCGTATGGTGAGTGTAGAGAACCGGAGACCCATTTTACTGGAAAAGAGGCATTCCATCTTCGTCCTCATGGCTGACAACGCAACTACATTTTAATTCGCAAACGAAGATAGATGTTGATGTCTATGGGCCACAGCAACCACTTACCATCAGGTGGACTGCGTGCATGTTTTTCATCCTTATTCTATATGAAAAAAAAACCGGCCAAGTGCGAGTCGGAATCGCGCACCGAGGGTTCCGAACAAATCCGTAGGTAAAATTATTAGAAATATTTTTATTATATGATTTAACAAAAAATTTATACTTTTCGTAATTTTTCCTTTATCTGTGCTATAATACGTTGCTTCGTACCAAATTTTAAGATACTGAGTTCACGGGAAGTACCTTGTAGGTTTTGATTCCCTTGCAAATGTCGAAAATTTGCGGCACAAACAGCTGTATCTTTTGATTTCGTTGGCTTAGAAGTTTTATTTTTTCACAGCTCCAAGGGACAGTAGACTTGAATATTTGATATAAAATTCAGCTTGATACCTACACGCGTTCCTGAGAAAAAGGCTCTTAACAGACAGACAGACGGACAACAAAGTGATCCTATAAGGGTTCCGTTTTTTCCTTTTGAGGTACGGAACCCTAGGAATAAAAAAAACTGCTATATTTTAAATCCAATTGTTCAATCTTCCAATTTTTCAAGAATGCTTCAAAAGATATGCTAACATTATTTAGAAGGAAAACACACTACGTCAAACAAGCTTTTGGGTCGTTGGTTAGTGTAGAGTCAATATAATTGAACTGAATTACCAACCCCAACCCGATTACACTCTTCGCACTCGCCTGTCAAGCATGACAATTTTGGTAATTCATTAATAATTTAAGGCACTTTCCCAGCCCTAGACTGAGTACAGGTTGATGAAGATGTATTAGTTAAGTACTTGCACAATATACCTGGCAGCGTTGGACTCAGTGGAGAGACGTACTAAGAGGCTCATTGGTGACCTTGATTTGGTTGAAACCAATCTTGTCAGCCTCGAGCACAGGCGCAGAGTAGCCAGTCTTTCGGTATTCTATATAGGATGCATTTCGGTGAGTATGCGCAGGAATTACACGCTTTAATTCCTCCCTCTCCTTTCCAACGTCGGACAATCAGGCAGTCAGCGGGTCTTCACCCTTATGTTATCGATACTCCACGCATTAGAATCAAAAGGCTTGCTTCGTCTTTTGTAATGCGTACAGCAAATGAGTGGAATAATTTGCAGGCGTCTATCGTTCCGTCCGAATACAATCTTCAAGGCAAGAGTGAATAGGCTTTTGCACATCACCACTTACCACCAGGTGGGATTGTGGTCAAGTACTGGCTTATAATAATAAAAATGGTAAAAAATGGAAAATATGGTAAAAACAGACAACCTATAAGCTATCATACAACGTAACTGTGGATCTGTGGCGTCATCGCTTAGGGATTTCTTTAGTTCCGACTCTTAAACTATAGTTTAACCCGAGAATATCAACTAGTTTTTGAAATAAGATGGTCTAAGATTAGAACACGAAATACTGAAATTCTTTATTTTTCTTTCATTACTTTGTCATAACCTATGCGATATTAAGACCGAAATAGCTTATCTTTAATGTTAGTTCCAGGTGCTGACACCCTGTCCGCGGCCATTAAAGTTAAGAAGTTGAGAATATAACATTGGATTATTGCCATATCTATTAAAACACTTTCATCCTTTATTATATTTAGAGTACTTAAAGAATAAAGGTATTTTATTAGATAAGATTAATAATTAATAATAAAATATAAATTTATTAACTATATAAAATATAATAAAATATAAATTTATTAACTGTATAAAATGTCAACTATAATCCAAGATCAAACCTGAGATGAGTGACTAGACGCATGTGTAGTCACTCTCTTCAGGCAAGTCGAGTTGAAACAAGAGGCGATTACGCGGAGGACATGGGGCCAGGCAAGGACCTTTTAAGCTGGCGGTGAATCTGGTCTATGACTTCACCGCTGCAGACGTTTAATTCGAGAAGAGATGGGAGAACAGTTCATCGTAATCCTGTCACTATTCTAACTCCGCGCTCCCACCATCGCCGCATAGACTATGATTTGTCAGAACCTAGCGAAATCCTTTGAAGTTTGAACCATAGATGAATACCTTAGATAAAACAAAGATGGTGGTGGGGAGCAGTTAAGTCATTTGTGTAATTTGGGTACTGAGTTATTCTGTTCTGCCGTTAGTTGGTTAGCTGAGCCCTGAGCCTCGTTCGTCAATCGTTCTCTGGAATTTCGCCTTGAAGACACTTTACACTGTAATCAGACGGGAAAACAAATGCAGGCAAGCTATTTGGTGGACATTCGACAAGCTTTTATCTAGTAGTCCGATGACTGAAAGGGAAGCGATAAATTAAATCATATAATTCTTGAGCACTCTCTGAGATATATCCTATAGAATACCGATAGTAGAAACTATACCCTTGGGCACGAGACTGACAAAATTGTTTTCAATCGAATAGAGATCATGAATAATTACTCAATTATTAATAATGAAATCCTCTATTGCGTACTTAACACTGATGATTTTTTAATCATATTGTTCCCAGCTAGCATACGAAACAAAACAGCCTGCAAATTGATACTTAAATCGATTAAGATCTAATTCACACGATTACCTGAGGCATGTATATTTATTCCATTTTATTACCGTCTTTACGAGTCCACTGCTGAACACAGTCTCCTCTCAAGTAATGCAATAAAACATGATGCTAAGACACCTCCTTACATCGTCTTCTTTCATGTCTGACCATTTCGTCACTTCATCTTGTGGGTTCCGTCCTACACTTCGTTCATCGGTACGAGGCTGCCGCTCAAAACCCTTCTCAGATATCTTCAAGTAAATGGCGTGAAAATACATCACTCAATAATTGTTTTAACACAATTTTCTACCGACTTAAAAAAAGAGACAGTACTCAATTGAACTTGTTTTTTTCATGTCTGTTACCTCATACCTTTTTATTAGGTGAATCGATTTCGATGATTCATTTTTTTATTTGAAAGCTGATGCTTCTCGTGTGGCGATTTGAACAAGGTCTGACCAATATTTTTTTTTAATTTTTATTAATATATGTTGAATTCGGTTGTACAAAATTTTTAATTTTTAATTATTCACAATACTTAATGACCCGAATTGCGTTACTACCCAAAAAAAACTACATATTATGTACATAGTAATATTTCAATTGATCTTTAATCCTCCGGAACTAATTTGGGAAATGTTATAGAATTACTATACGGAGAATCCATTCAAATACACAAGCCTGATTAATTTGCAACTACAGATACATTTAGTATCAAAACAAACAACCAAAGCAGCTATTGGTACATTTATGAACAAAATAGAAAGACAAAGCGACCGATGACTTTGATTATTTACTATATACTGTACTATATACAGTTACCGTTAACGTTACAGCCCAATAAAGTCCACTGCATTACATGCACGAGTAACTGTATAAGAGTAGTAATACAGCACGAATGGGTTGGCCCGACCGGGGAAGGAACAAGCTCTCACAGAATACCAGTATAAATAGCTGAACTGAAGACCCTTTTAACTGGATAGGAGGCATTCGATCTTAGTCCTCAGGGGTGAAAATACATCTGAATTTTGATTCTTAATCGAGGGTAGATGTAGATATCTATGGGCCACAGCATCCTCTTACAATCATCAGGTGGGCTGTGCTTGCTTGTCACATTTATTTTATAAAAAAAATAGGACATAGATTGCGTCATAGGAGGGATATTTTCCATAGTTGCCACGCTTGGCAAGTGGAATGGCAACAGCAGTTTTTATTTTTAGTCGTTATTAGTAAGACGCTGCTGCCCATCTCCTGACATGTTTCCCTCTGTCGCCTCTTACGACAACCACAGCATTATAGGGTAGTAGATATTCTTACACCGCTATGACACAGTACCGATTCTGTAATATATGATAATATGTCTTAATTATTATATATACCTTATTAAACAGTCCACTATAGAAGAGTTACAATATGTTGATACGCCACATGCTAGTTTTTAGGATTTTAAAGAAAACTTAAAAGACAAAAGATATCTAAAAATGATGTTATTGTAATACACTACAAAAATAAATAAAAAATCTACAATAAAATGTAGTATTTAAAAAAAGTAAACGCATAATGGTAGTGTTACTTTAGTATTATGATGAAACGTGTATCACGGATAAAAACGGGACGGGTTTAGATGCGTTCAAAAACTATAAAAAGTGGTAAGAAAATGAGGTTTTTATTACAATAAGCTAAATTATTTTACGGGCTCCAATTAAATAAGCTGGACCCCGTAATTTAATACACACCCAAGTCACTATTTTTTGACATATCAATCATTGATGGTCGTTTCATATTATAGTCAGGTCATATTTGACCGATGTTCTTTGTCAAAAATGTGCCGCTTGACAGACGGCGTTTTCAATACCAGATATTTAGAACCTATGACTCTGCTTCCCATC